AAGAGGATTTAAAATTTCGATGTATAATCGTTATACGCTACGTGGAAACAATTATTTTTTTTTTTATGCATTTATGAAAATTTATGAATTTTAATATACATTATTCGAACCGCTGTGTTTTTCAAAATTCGTTTCTACGCGCGTCGAGAAATGACACGGGATGGAATTAAATTTTGAATCGAATCGAATCGTCGTTCCTCGCTCAACACGAAACGACCTATATACAGACAGTATACACGGAACCACCATAAAGACCGCTTGCCAAGGAATATTTCACACCCTATTCCCCTGAAACGAAATTAATTACCGAATCGTAAAACGTGGCGCTGCCTCTTCCGCTCCTCATTTTCCATTATTCATTTTCGAAAGTGGCGCGAATTAGGGCGTGCCCCACCCACTCCACCGACTTCTCAATTTAATCGCGCGTATATACGGAGGTCACGTATGATTTTCCACAATCTGGATCCAACTGCTTTTCCCTCGACAGGAATGGATCTCGACGAATCCACACCGCCTTTCACTTCCTCCTTTCCTTTTGTCCCGACGAATTACACGGTTCTTCCTTGTTCCATCGGGTGGAGATACGGGGGAAGATCGATCGATCGTAACGCGGGCTGTTTCTTTTTGTCGGTCGAGAGAAATGGAAGAAGGGTTTTTCTTCGATTGCACGCTCATTGTTTCACTACGTCTTGATCCGAGTCTCTAACTGTGCTTGTTCTTTTTTTCTTTTCTTTTCTTTTTTTTTTTTTTTTTCTCATTCAACTCGTCGGATAAAATGGTATCTTAACCTCTTTCGGGAGACAATTCAAGGTATATAAAGGTTAGGTTATATCGTCTCGAAACACTCGAGTAAAATAAATTATGAGAGCTTTCATCGTTGAAAGTTTCTTCTGTAGTTTTTTCAAACTTAGTTGTAATTATTTAAAAAATTTAAATGGATGCATTTGTTACCGTCTATCTTATTGCTGGTCGAAGTATATATATTTTCGCATAATATGATGGATCGTGGAATATCTTGTACACGTTAGAAATTATCATCTCGATTCTAATTTTAAATTTATATTTAAATCATTTATGCACTTTTAAATCGGCAAACTTTTAGATTTCGTTTTAATGAAAATAATCGTCGGTATAAAGTTTCACGTTATAATTCACGCGAAAGGAATTTATTCGTTTTAATGTAATTTACATTGCTCACGCTCCGTTAAATTGCTTCTTTGATGCCCGCTAGATAAATTGTTTCTATTAAAACAACTTCAACCACGGTAAATATCGTATCGGCTACCTTTTAATTACAAGTAAACGTAACAAATTATAAACGAGTAATCTTATTTCCCTAAAAACTAAAAACTAACAATTATTAACTTAGATGATGTAAAATTTCCTTTAAAATATTCCCTTTCGATCGAATTGCAAATATGCACGTTATACACAACCACATATTGATCGTTGTAGAATAAAAAGATTTATACGATACGCGTTTACTAAAAAAAAAAATTTACTTTCACTTTGAGTCAAAGTCCAAAATAAACGGTGTGTATTATTGGATAAAATTTTTCGAAAAAAAAAAAAAAGACATACGCGCAACAGTGTATCGCGCAATGCATTTGAAACAACGATCTTATACGAGACGTGAAAAGAAAGAAAGAAAGAGAGATGAGAAGAAGGGCAGAGAAGGAGAGGAAAACGCTTGAAACAGGCGTGTCCGTGAATTAAGTGGAAAAACGTGTCGATTTCACGCACGGCACCGAATTAAGAGCACAAAAGCCGCGGTTTAAAAGGGGCTTTGTCCTGGCAAATGGGAAACCGTCAGGGACAGGGCATCTAGAGGCGAGGATACGCCGCTGTTATCAATACGATTATACCGTAATCTCGATACCTGCGAGATATTTAATAACGAATCATGATCGTTGGTGGTCCAATCATCCTCTTCCTCGACTTCCCCCCCCCCTCCTCTCTCTCTTCTAACTTTTCTACACGTTACGCTTAAAAACTGTTCTTCGATAATAATTAACATTTTTCTTTTCTTGTAAATTTACTAGAGACTATTGCAATGCGTTTGATGTTAATACACCCACTTATGTTTAACCTCCTCTTAAAGCTTAAAACTTCTTTCCTTCTCTCGTCGTATTTTCAGAAGAGAATAACGACTAATTTCTAGGGAATTTCACGGTATCGGTGTAAATAAGGTATCAAAGTACCTACTTGGAATGTTTCGCATTCGGCCGACAATTATTGGCTTTAAGGGAAGAAGTACGGGGTTTGCTACTTTCAAGCACGAAATTCCTTCTAATTTAATATCCCTGGCCGATAAATCATTCGGAGGTTTCTAATTTGGTAGGAGGCCCTTTGGCCCAAGCCAGAATTGGCCCTTTGTCGGAGCACCGGCCCAAGTGCGAAGAATCCCATTAAACGCCATAAAGAAAGAATTTCTTTTTTCTTTCCTTCCTTCTCCACCATCCACTCTTCACCTTACTTTCCTCTTCGATAGTTCTGCTAAGGTTATTCCATATTAATTATCTTGCGCATCGATCGCCCATTACAGAAACGATCTAACCTCGTTACGCTTTTTCGTTTCTTCTCTCTCTCTCCTCTTTTCTTTTCTTTCTTTTTCTTTCCTTTTCCCTTTTTCAATATCAATTTTCGATTCGATTTCCAATTTATTTTCCATTCGTATATTTCCATATATATTTAAAGAAAGAAATTTTTCTTTCTTCTCTTTGAACGAGAACTCTGTTTTTATTGGACAGAGAAAGAGAAAAAGTTAGGTCAATTAATTATTTAATAAACGATTATAAATGAGATATAAAGGGACAATGTTTCGAGGAAATAATTTGATTGAAAAATATTTATATATCATATTGAAATGAGTTTTTAAAGGAAATGAAGCGAGGAAGTTTGAAAAATCTAACAATTTTTTTTCAGATATATACAATAATTTATTTAACCACGAAGCAATGTTTACATTTACGGGCATCTTCGTGAGAGTACGATCGAGTACATTAATTATATTACGCTTGTAGATCATTTACGAGTCGTTCGCACAATGGATGAACTTCCTTTCAATGGATTCGCACGTGATCCCGTTAAAATAACGAAATTTACGTTTCACAATTCTCCAAGTAACTTTTGTTCTCTAACAAAGAACGATCGAAATCCATATTCCGATTTAAAGAAAGCAAGAAGCAAGAATGAAAGAAAGAAAAGGATTTGTTGTATAATTCTTAGTTATTAATATATAATTATCTACAATTTCAACATTTTTCTTATACGTATACACATAATTTTCAATCTGTGTTATTAACTGTAACGAAGTATTTAGTTTTTTTTTTTTATATAAAATTTGTTGATCTCGTTAATTAGAAATTGTGCAAATCGAGAATAAGCTGAATATATAAATGAAAAACTTTAAAAAAAAAAAAAGAAGCGTATAAAATCTGTTTCAATCGAAAAAAATCTGTATTGAATTTAGTAGAAAATCGATTTAAACTATTTACAAATGAAAAAGAAATTTCTCTCTTTTCGAAAAACAAACGTGCAATTGTTTTTTTTAAACTAAATAGCACGAATATTTTTCTGCAACTGTGTGACTCGAATCGAAAAATTAAGGCATTTACCTTTAACTTTATTGACTCTAATTCGATCGATTTCCTCTTCAAACGTGACATTCTTTTAACACGATATATAATAATCACTGAAAATTATGAATCGAAATTTGTAATATATATATATATATAGTTTCAAAATTTTTTCTAAATTTTCTTACACATTTATAGATAATAGAACTCTTTCTAAATCCCCAATCGATATAACATGTATAAATAAAACTCGATAAATATAAATTTTATTTCACAGATCGAAGAGGAAACGTTATATCGATAGTTTGGGAGAACTTTACGTTAACTAGATTAGACACGCAATTATGCATAATGGACGATAGAGCATGACTATTACGCCGCATTCACATCTAACGAACGAACGCAAATGAGCACGAATAAACTTGAACGAACAAACGCGTTTATCACTATTCCAAACACAAATAATCGAAAAATACGTTATAATTTATCATCTATTATCGATTCTAAATTATTACTTAATATCATTCAATCTTTTCATAGCAATGTAAATTCGCATCAATAAAGTTTCACGTGAAGTTCAATGCGACGCAATGCGCAAGAAACAAGAGACTTCTGCGCATCCCACGCTACTTCGCATAACTGCTGTCATGCTGTTTGTTTAAATAGTACTTGAAAGTTTATTGAAATCAGAATTTGAAATCGAATATCAATAAAGAAAATCATAAATGTGAAGCGAATTATTGACTATTCTTATGCTTGTTTGCTCGCTTGATGGAAGGTATGTTCATGTTTATTGATTCGTTGGTGCTTATTCGTGAGATGTAGTGTTGGTTTTAGTTAGTAAATAGGAGCTACAAACTTGCCGATTCTCACGCATTCAACGTTCCTCCTTTAATCATATTGAAGAATTCTTTCGTTACTCGAAGGTAAATAAGCAATTTCCAGAGTACGAGATTCGATCAAATAGTACTAAGAATTTCATTCTCTTCAAAAAATTAACATTGATGCATTCATTTTGTCGATATTAAGATATAGATTAATAAGTTAATAGGTTAGACAGAAAATCAATTTTAAATCAATTTATATTAATTTGAAATTATTCAACAAAATTTCTTTTCCATTAATTTCCAGCATATTCTAAAAATTTACAATTAACGATATTACGAAAAAAAATTGTTAAATTCCTTACAATTAAATATAAATTAATTTGGTATTTTTTACATTAATACCATTTGATCAGTTCTCGTATAATATACGTACCTAATTCTAGAAAATTTTTTTAATTATTTTGAAAATTATATTTAACTCAATGTTTGCAATCACTGCAAGTATTAAATTAAACTCAACTAGTTTATCGTGAATCAAATATTTTCAAATATTCGTCAGGTATAGCAATTTTTCGTACTCGAGTATTTTTCTATATAATTTATAATACTTTTACTCGAGCAATTATATAAGATTGATATACTTTTCAATGTTCTTTAGATACGTTTTCTAAGTATTCTGCATTATATTATAGCACATTTTTTCTTTTATCTTGTAAATAATAACTTGTGTTTTTGTAAAATACTTTATTGTACGTTTGGACTCGCTACTTTAGTAATATATTTTTTTTTGTCTTTTTCTTTGTTTTTCAAGTAATTTTAAATGACTTCGAGAACTTTGTAGGTGCCTTGTTAATTATTCTTTTTTTTTTCTTTTTTTTTTTTTTTTTTTTTTTTTTTTTTTTTTTTCCTTCTCTAATAAATCTCATACTCCTTGTGCTTTAAGTAAGATTCTTGTTGTAAAACGAATATAAAATGTTACAATGATACACAGGCAAAAATGTCGTTGCTTGTTAAATGCATACACATTGTTAAACATTAAATATATTGTTATGCTCGATTTATCGTTATCTATAAGGTGTTCGAGAATTATATATCAAATTATATGAATATCTTTGATTTTTATTAGTTTTTAATTTAATGATGATAGATTATAAGAAAAATTTGAGAAAATCAAAATTTACATATTTATAGGATTGTCATTTTTATTATGCGATGCATAACGGATTACCAATCCATGAAAGAATTATAATATATAGACAGTAGTTTTATTTCTTTATTCTATACAAATTTTTATTTTTATTTTATCGTTTAATCTATCAAATAATTTTCGAACACCGTATTTTTCATTTCTTTGCATCATTAATAAATTTTATCATTTTCTTTAAATTACGTTTAGTATTATTATATTCACTTTTATCATCTTTCTCAAAATATTTCATCCTAAAAAACTTAGTCAAGTTCCATCGAAAGGAAAAAGAGAAGACTTACCATTAGCAGTACCGTCAGTTAAATTTTGCACTGATTATTTTATGACTCGTAAATAAGTTTATAAATAAAAAAAATGAAATTTGAAGTATATTTTAACACATTGATATAATTTAGATATTAAAATCTCAGTAAAAAAATTATATCGATTCTATATCTCTTCTAATTTTCAATTAGAAACATTTTTTTAAACAATGTATCCGTACAAATTTATTGAGTATAAATTTATAACTTTCAAAATTTTCACATACTTCTTTAGAAAGTAACTCTTACTCTGCTTATTCAATTAGTTTATCCATTGTTTCTAATTGACCAGTCAACCAGTTGAATATTAATAATCCATAACAAGAATTTTAAGATAAGTTATGTGGATTAAGAATTTTTATAAGGTTTATATATATATATATATATATGTAAGTATATACATATACCCACAAACGTTTAATTCTAATAAAATATCGTATTAGCTTGATCACTATGACCATTTGTCCAATTTATTTTGCACAAAAGTGATTTAAATAACGTGTATAATCACCTACGATTAGATATCATCATTCTTATAATCTTCCTAAATTTCAGACTTAGAAATATACCATACAAACTGTTATTACACCAATAATCTACCACGAACCGTTGCCACGATATCTCATTTCACTTGAACAAACGTTATTTAAAAAAAAATCTAATTTATCAAATTATCAAATTCTCTCTTCGAATGGAAACAGCGAATCAGAATTATACGTATTTATACTTTGTAAGTAATCGAAATATTACCTCAGGATATCTATTCAATCAAGTTTAAAAGAAGAACCTTCTGTAGTCATTTCCTCAATTCCAAAAGCAAAACTTCTTGAAACATTTCGATCCATAGCTTCACACCACCAGAAAAGTCTTCCCTTCCTTTCCACGCTTGAAAAAAATCTTCTCGAGAACACGAGAGATAGAGAGAAAGAGAAAGAGAAGAGAGAGAGAGAGAGAGAGAGAAGCGCACAAACAGGATCCGTTAGTTCATTCATCACCAGAATCTGTGTATCCACTAGCGCCTCGTCTGAATGCCGATCGTCGCGCCACCAGCGTTTCCAGTTCGCTTTGAATTATCCACTAGACACTAGTCGAATCTAGTAAATTCAGGTGGCGGTCTCATACGGGACCTTACTCGTGGGCAGACCGAACGAGAATCCGGCGTAAAGCGGTCTAGGCACCAGAAGATGGCCCGAAGATCTCTTCTCGTCCTCCGAATTACTCGAAATCTGTTCATCGTCCGGCGCGATGATATTCTCGATTGTAAACGGTTTCTTCTTCTTCTTCTGGCCGGGTTGGATGCTCGTCTGATTGGAAATTCCAGCCTCCAACGGCGGACAACGAACTTTACCATCGGCAGACTCGATCGTGGCGCCTCTCGCGGTCTCCAGGAAAAGCCTGGAGTCAGTCTTTTCAGGGACACCAGCCTCTGCGTTTCCAGCGCAGATCTGTCTACTTTCCGGTATATCTGTCTGAAAGTAGGAGAGCTGAGACACGTACGGTGAGACCTGGAAGCCTGGAAAGCTCCAACTTCCTGCCTGCAACAGGTTGCTCTCGTAACCGCGAAGGATCTCGTCCGTTCCGGCCAGTCTCTGTCGAACCTCTGGCGACAATAGGTAATAGCTTGATCCAGCCTCGGGCGTGGTGAAGCTTGGCGAACTGTTACCGCCAGAAGTCATGGCTAGGCGGCGCTCCTGCAACTCCCAACGGAGCAAATCGTCGCGAAGACGATGAAGATTGGCAACAGTGAGACTGCTCGTCTGCGCGTTAGGATTTATCGACAGGACGGGCGAGGATTCGGAGTGAGGGGGCGGCATGGCGGACGCCAGGGCCTGGAGCTCGGATTTCAACAGTTCTTTGTCGGGTTTGTGCAGCTTGAAACGTTTTCTGCGCCGTAAGAGGGAGCCGTTCTCGAACATGGAGAGAGCTGCCGGGTGAAGAGCCCAGTAGGCGCCCTTGCCAGGACGGTGGGGTCCCCTTGGCACCTGAAAACGACAATTTTCCCGTGTACAGAGAATCGTTTCGACGTTACATGTGTATGTGAGTGTGTGTACGTGTATATATACATATATATATATAACCTGTAACGCAAACGCGTTGATATCTGTGGAATAGCCGATTCTTTTTATATAAAAGTGTTTGGATGGTTCGAAATATGATTTATGAAAGAGATGTATGACTGCATAAAGTCGTAAAATCTGTCAGGCATTAATCATTAATATTAATCATTAATTTGAAATAAACAAACACAGTATATCCACTTTGAATTATCATATTTAGCGGTGATAGTAACAGTTCAGAAATAACCGCAAATCAAATATGACGTATTATGCATTAGAATATTGCAATGCCATGCATCTATTAAGCGTGTAATGTTATATAAACAAAAAACAGCGTATAATGCGAATTTCTATTCACCGATGCAACTCGTTAGAAGCGTGCTTGCCTCGCGTACGCGCATGCATATGTACATACAGTCATTTAATTAGCATAAATGCATACAGAACGTTTCGTATCTACGCGAAGGAAACAATATTTCACGCGTAGATACGCACAATATGTATGTTTACACATTGTTACGAATTAAGAAACGGATAAGATTTAATATCCACCTCGTGAATAATAATCAGCCTTGCTAATTTTAATCATTAATCACGTCTAAGGACGAGAAAAGAACATCCGTGTAACATAACTATAAATCGTTAAAATATAAAATTTCTTCGTTAACTTTTACGCGTGAGACTGAAAAGAAATTGCGAAGAGTTTAGAGAGAAAGAGGAGGGTCTTCGATCGTGAGATCAAAAGAAATATTTTGAAATAATATAATATTGTCTAATTAATTTCGACGACGATTAAGGAAATAATATTTCCCCCATAAGAAATATTTTTATTCGAGACGAAAAAAATTCGAATCCCTCTCTCTGTCGAAGCTGATTCACTACAAAAAAAAAAAAAAAACGCTCGTCACAGAAGCTCGATTATCAAGCGCGATTCCTATTGCTCGTTTTTTCGCTCGTACATGTCGATGATCGTGCGTAGTTTATCGTTGGAACAGGTGCAATCAGTTTATAAATTAAACGTTACGAGGCCATTTTTATGATAATTTCGCGGTAATTTCAATTTGAAGTGAAAGATCGTTTCGGATCGTTGTAATTTGAATTTATTTTCATATATGGAGTGAGATATGGTTTTAAATGTAGCTTCCTCGGTCGGTAAGCAATAATTTTGACGGTATAAAAATAAAAAAGGAAATACACGTAGTAGTGATGGATAAATGGGAGTTATTATAGAGACGAGAATTCAAATCCTACGCGAAGAAGATGGTACGATATCGTTTATAATTATTGAATTGAATAATTCTACAAAATGATTATTTAAATAATATCTCTCTCTCTCTCTCTCTCTCTCTCGAAATTATTTTATAGTTAACAAGAGATACCAATAGAACGAATGATTTTATAATTCTTATCCACACGTAGATTGTTCTAGATCTCTCTAAGATCGATAAATTCTAAACATAAAAAAATTGCACGATACAAAAGGATGGATTATCTTTACAATAAAAAAAGATTGACAATTTTGGATTCTACTTGTGAAGATCAAATAAAAAAAAAAAAATCAATGACTTTTATTGTTGTCCCAAAACGAGGTTTAACCTAATTTGTTTACCAATCGAATCGATTATAAACTTCGAAGAATTTTTTTTTTTCTTTCACGTGTCTTTAATATTCGATCGAAAAATATCGATTTGTATCGTGGATAACGAAGATAAAAATGATCAAAACGCGTCACGTGATCTATCGGCTCGGCTTCTCTCTAACTCGAACGTTCATAACCTCGAAAACCTAGGCTAATATTTTATTCATTCCCTCTCGTTTCGCCGTGAAAATCACTACACCACTGTGTCTGCACTTCCAACGTCAACAATTCGGCCATTTTTTATCCGCCAATATTAGACTTTAGAGTTTATGTTTAACAGCGAAGAAATCGACTTGAATCGATCGTTTTAATTTCCTCGAACGGATTGCTGGTTCGACGACTCGGGCGCGGGAAAAATCGCAATTCAAATTTCAATCTTTTTCTCATTATTTTTGTCAGCATTATAAACGGCGTTGAGGCAACGTTGCGAGACAACGTTTTCTCTTCTCTTCTTCTGTTCTCTTTCTCTTCCGACCATCTGTTTCTCGCACCTGCCTCGACCTAAATCGTGGAACACGATCGGCGAGGATCCACGGAAAGAGATCGTTTCGCTCTTGTCTTTCTCTCTTTCTCTTTCTCGTTTTTCGCTCGTGTAATTTCTGTGATACTCTGGATCCGTAAAAATAAGAATTTGGATTGGAATTGGAAATTTTTGACTTGGCGATGTATCGTTCGAAATTACGATTTTCCATACATTTCACGAAAATTTTAATTCCAATTCTAAAGTTTCGTCGGTAAATATTAAATATAAATTATGTGATAATTTTTCAACATATATAATTGTGTTGTGATTAATTAATTAAATCACGATTAGATACGTTTCAGGATCGTATGGGATTTCTTATTTTCAATCGTGCTCTTACAAAAAGCATGCAACTGTAATCATGTTGGAATATTTTTCCCAATGAACAAAGGTTAAGGAATCGATAATCGATATGATATGAACATTAATAACAATCGATTTCGAGATTATTTCATTTCAAAAATATTTTAAAAATTGTGCTCCCTGCATAGTAATTTTATCGCGAATTTTATCGTTCGATTTAAATTCTCTAGTTGATGCAAATACGGGATTATAAATTTTTTAATAACGTAGCAATCGAGATCATTTCGTAAAAATATTTTCAAAATCCTGTGTTCCTTGGATGATAATTTTATCGTTCGATTTAAACTTTATTCGTGCAAATACGAGAAAGATTTTGCTTATTATAAATTTTTATTATGTTCGTTTATATTTTTCCTGTTTAACGATCCTTTTCTGTCCCCAAAGATGAAGAAAATATCGAATCATCGTGATAGATGATTTCGTAAAAATATTTCCAAAAATTGTGTTTCCTTCCCCAATAATTTTATGATTCCATTTAAATTTTCTATTTATGCAAATAGGAGAAAGATTATTTGCCCATTATAAATTTTTATTATGTTTGAATATTTTTTTTCCCGTTTAACGTTTAACTCTTTCCTGTCTCCAAAGATTAACAAAAATATCGAATCACCGTGATAGCTCTCGAGAATAATTTCGTAAAAATATTTCCAAAATTGTGTTTCGAAGATGTAACGTAATCTACATAGTAATTTTATGATTCCATTTAAATTCTCTATTTATGCAAATAGGAGAAAGATTATTTGCCCATTATAAATTTTTATTATTATGTTTAGATATTTTACTTGTTTAACGACTCTTTTCTGTCGTTAATGAAATATCGAATCATCGTGTTAGCGATCTCTCGAGAATCATTTCGTAAAAGTAAAAGTATAACCAAAATTGCGTTTCGAAGTTATAATCTATTAATCTAGTAATTTTACGATTCGACTTAAATTCTCTGGATATGCAACTTTTCCTCGGTAAAAATATTACCGAAATTATTTTTCGAAGATATAATTTACTAATCTAGTAATTTTATGATTATGATATACTTATACGATTATTTTTTTAGTAATTATTTTTATTTTTCTAGTAATTATTTTTTTTTTTCCAGAGATTAAGAAAATATCGTTGTGATAGCTCTCGAGACTTATTTCGTAAATATATTAGCAAAATTATTTTTCGAAGATATAATTTACTAATCTAGTAATTTTATGTTTCGATTTAAATTCTCTATTCGTGCAAATAGGAGAAAGATTATTTGCCCATTATAAATTTTTATTATGTTTGAATATTTTTTCTGTTTAACGACTCTTTCCTGTCTCCAAAGATTAAGAAAATATCGTATATGATAGCTCTCGAGAATCATATTTTCGTAAAAATATTACCAAAATTGTCTTTCGAATACATAATTTACCAAATCTAGTAATTTTATGATTCGACTTAAATTCTCTGCAATTACTTTTCTGTCTCCAAAGATTAAGGAAACATCGAAAATATCATCAGTTCTCGAGAATCATCTGGAGAAAATATTTCCAAAAATAAAATATTTCGAAGATGTAATCCGGTATAATTTTATGATTCGATTTGAACTCTCTGTTCACGAGATCAGAGAGATGAGTGGAAGGATTATTTAGTCCCGATTACGCGAAAAGGATTATTCACCGTGTTTTTCTCTCCTACAATGTAAAATGTAACAAGATAATGAAGAAATAAGAAAACACGGGCGAGTATTCTTCCCGCTCCTTGATCCCATTAATCACACTTAACTGTATCCCTCGTGAATTTATCATTGAGGTTCGGACGAAGAATGGGCAAAAAGAAAAGAAGGAAGAGGAAGAAGACAAAATTACTTATACCACTGTTATCTTCGATACACCGAAGTGAACAACGCGAATGCATAGGCGTAGATAATATCTACGCAAATCTGGAGCATGCCGTTTCTTTTATAAAATCTAATTAGCAACAACGAGATTCCCTTATTACGCGAGGGGAAAAAAAAAAAAAGAAAAAAAATAACCTGCAAATCCACGCTTCATATTCCACGCGGATGTGTATATATATATATATACACTTTTCAAGGTGAAGATATATCTCGCCTCTGATAAATATTAAATTACAACTCGCGAAGAATTAAAGTTTTTAATCCGTTTGAATTCATTTTTTCTTCCTCTTCTTTTTCCTTTCCGATCCTCCAAGATGACATAATAAAGAACGAATTAATTACACCTGTGTGTGGGAATATATTACAGTATATTATCCTTCTTCACCCCTTTAAGAATCGCAACCGTACGAATCGTTTTAATTGATCGTGAAAAGTTTGTCCTCCAAAATATTACAGCTCGTCGTCGTAATTTCGAAAATTCGAATTTTCGTTTCCGCGCCGTGGCACGAAGAAGAAGAAGAAGAAGAAGAAGAAGAAATGTAACTTGATCGACTTCCGTAGAAAAAAAAAAAAAAAAAAAACTTACCTTCAAATCGTCTGTACGAATAATAATAACGAGTCGAAGAGAATTATTAATTATTAAGTTCCATTAATCATGTCTCCACTTTCTTTATCTTCGATCTCGTGCTTGCCAAACCAGAAAAGAATTCCCTCCAACCGGGCCATTCTCTCGCGTTAAAAAATCGTTATTCCTTCCTTAATTTCCTCCTCCTCGTTTTCTTCTCTTCCCAAAAGATAGACACGAAAGATCGTACGCTTTCTCTTCGTTTCTCTGAACACGTTCAACGCTATCCCCCTTTCCAGACTCTCGTCCGTCTCTCCACGCTTCTTTGCTCGCGATGGAAGGAAGGAGTTATCGTTCGAGTCATACATTGAAAATTATCATCTTTTTCTCACTTGAATAATCAAACGATCCTGTCTCCAAAGATTAAGGAAACATCGAAAATATCATCAGTTCTCGAGAATCATCTGGAGAAAATATTTCCAAAAATAAAATATTTCGAAGATGTAATCCGGTATAATTTTATGATTCGATTTGAACTCTCTGTTCACGAGATCAGAGAGATGAGTGGAAGGATTATTTAGTCCCGATTACGCGAAAAGGATTATTCACCGTGTTTTTCTCTCCTACAATGTAAAATGTAACAAGATAATGAAGAAATAAGAAAACACGGGCGAGTATTCTTCCCGCTCCTTGATCCCATTAATCACACTTAACTGTATCCCTCGTGAATTTATCATTGAGGTTCGGACGAAGAATGGGCAAAAAGAAAAGAAGGAAGAGGAAGAAGACAAAATTACTTATACCACTGTTATCTTCGATACACCGAAGTGAACAACGCGAATGCATAGGCGTAGATAATATCTACGCAAATCTGGAGCATGCCGTTTCTTTTATAAAATCTAATTAGCAACAACGAGATTCCCTTATTACGCGAGGGGAAAAAAAAAAAAAGAAAAAAAAATAACCTGCAAATCCACGCTTCATATTCCACGCGGATGTGTATATATATATATATACACTTTTCAAGGTGAAGATATATCTCGCCTCTGATAAATATTAAATTACAACTCGCGAAGAATTAAAGTTTTTAATCCGTTTGAATTCATTTTTTCTTCCTCTTCTTTTTCCTTTCCGATCCTCCAAGATGACATAATAAAGAACGAATTAATTACACCTGTGTGTGGGAATATATTACAGTATATTATCCTTCTTCACCCCTTTAAGAATCGCAACCGTACGAATCGTTTTAATTGATCGTGAAAAGTTTGTCCTCCAAAATATTACAGCTCGTCGTCGTAATTTCGAAAATTCGAATTTTCGTTTCCGCGCCGTGGCACGAAGAAGAAGAAGAAGAAGAAGAAGAAGAAATGTAACTTGATCGACTTCCGTAGAAAAAAAAAAAAAAAAAAAACTTCCTTCAAATCGTCTGTACGAATAATAATAACGAGTCGAAGAGAATTATTAATTATTAAGTTCCATTAATCATGTCTCCACTTTCTTTATCTTCGATCTCGTGCTTGCCAAACCAGAAAAGAATTCCCTCCAACCGGGCCATTCTCTCGCGTTAAAAAATCGTTATTCCTTCCTTAATTTCCTCCTCCTCGTTTTCTTCTCTTCCCAAAAGATAGACACGAAAGATCGTACGCTTTCTCTTCGTTTCTCTGAACACGTTCAACGCTATCCCCCTTTCCAGACTCTCGTCCGTCTCTCCACGCTTCTTTGCTCGCGATGGAAGGAAGGAGTTATCGTTCGAGTCATACATTGAAAATTATCATCTTTTTCTCACTTGAATAATCAAACGATCCGTTTAATATCGACGTGAGCCATTTTCCATTCGTAATAATAATAATAATAATAATACGATCGCACCTACCTTGATGAAGCAGTCGTTGAAGGACAAATTGTGCCTCAACGAGTTCTGCCACCTTCGAGTGTCCTTCCTGTAATAGGGGAACCGATCGGCGATGAATTTGTAGATCTCGGCCAGAGGCAGCATCTTGTCCCTCGACGACCATATCGCCATAGCTGTCAACGAAATATAGGAATATGGCGGCTTCTGGTCGCCGTAAGTGTCCCTCGACGGTCGAGGCATCCTCCCCTTCGTCTTCTTCCAATCGTCCTCTCCTCCACGACCCCCTTTTTCGAAACCTGCGCTCGGCTCTGCTCCAACTCGGCACCAACGATCACAACCCCTCCTGACCTTCTCATCGAATTCCTCGCGTTATTTCCTTCCCCCTTCTCTTCCTTCTTCCCCTCGCATCTTTCTCTCAACGGTTGTTACATCGAGACGTGTGCGCCTTTCGTCGAGTCCCGGCAAACTGTCGTTATTCCGCTATCTTATTTTCTTGGATCGATGCTGATCGATGTTGCGCTCATATTGTTTCGCTCGTTCGAGGCCAGTCCTCTCTGAAAAGCGAGTGAAGAGCAGTTACAATTTACGTTTCTAGGGACTTTTGTTACTCCAGTTTTGGCAACCTTGTTAAATGTAAATACAGAGTTGGAACGATATCTCGTTCGATTTTTAAGAGAGGTTGGAAAGATTGTGGCGAAAAATCGATGGCGAGAAATGATGTTTGTCACCTTCTTTCTAATTTGCATATACACGGATTTATTGTTATTATTAAATTTGTTCATCAATACACATTTCGATCACTTTCTCTTATCAGCGAAATGATAAACTCTGACAACATTTTCCGTCTGATCGAAATTAAATCTAACGACGACGTGGACGCGTCGAATTTTCCCATTTGAAACAACTTAGACGATCTTAATTCAATATTCCCCGCCTCCAATTTTAAAAAGAAATTTCTCCCTCCCTCATATCGGTATATGAGAACGAGCCAAGAAGTATAATTTTCAATATTCGTATTCCGAGCGAGGCATTTCGCTGCTTCGAGTCGTGTAAACGAAACGATCCGCGGCTCGAATTCACGATTCGCGAGAAACTGTCCGAGGTTCAGGCGGTGGAAAGGAAGGAGGGTCACCGGTGTTCCGAGAATCGAGAGGCCGAAAGAAGGCGGAAGAACGAACGAGAGAGCCACGGGAAGAAGGACGAGGAGTAGTCCGCAGACAACAAAGGGCGGCCTAAGGAGGAGGAAGAATTTTTCGAGGAGATAGCGTGATTTCTTTCTTTCTTTTTTTTTTTTTTTTCTTTTAATTAAAACGCATCGATAATGGAAGATCGTAGAAATATATATTGTTAAACGATGGATCCAAATATTTCGGATAAATTTATCAATTTTATTTATTTTTTTTTTTTAATGAGATTTATCATTAAAAATGAACTTAACGTATATAAAATAAATAAGTAATCATTTAATTGGGGGAGTAAAATTCATTCGGAGGTAATTTTATTATAATTGATTTAAAGGAATCAAAATTTCAGACGTCTAATGTAAAATTTTAAAGAATAATTCTTTTTTTTAATCGACTTTAGTGTGACAAACTAATGTTATTTGATTCGACTAATTTTTTTTTCAATTTATCAAACTCAATTTTTAAAAGATATTTGAAAAGATATATGAAGTTGATTCAATTGCAATGTGTATATGTGTATAAATCTGACGATCGAGTCACAGGAAGGATAGATCTCCGTTTTTAAGCGAGAATCAAAAGTATAACAACTTTCTAATTCAAATATAATAATTTACATGAAAGCACGAGAAGAGATTACACAAAAATCAGAGAGAATGGACTTTTCCATAGGGTTACGTTGGACAAGATGATCGAGCAAGAAGAAGAAGAAGAATTTTAATTCGTGTGAAAAGCGTGTATTTTTTTTTTTTTTGGATTAAAATACATCGAAACGATAGAAGATCGTAGAACACGTATCTCTCTGTTTTTAAACGAATAAGAGATCAAAAGTAAAACAACTTTCTAATTCAAATTGCGTACAATAATTTAGATGGAAGGAGAAGAGGGGGTTTCGTGACGAGGGGAGGTTATAGAAAATGAAATTAAAAATCAGAGAATCAACTTTTCCATAGGGTTGCGCCGGGCTGGCGCGTTTAAAGGGGTGTAATTGCGGGAAATAAAGTTTCGAATTGGCCAGATAAGATCGTGGCCGCGACACACACACACACGCGCGTGTATAATACATACACGCGAATAACTTTCGTTATCGGCGATACACGAGCCATTAACAATTAGTGGTCGCGTGAAAACTGCCAGTCTACGTATACCTATGTAACGTAGATGGCGTGTTCTACAAAACATCCTTTTTCTTTGTCGCTTGACCGAGAAACTACGATTTCTTCGTGAAAGAATCTTTCTTCTTCGACTAGCCACGAATTTATTCCGAACAGCGAAACGAAAAGATCGAGAATACGTAGATTATATTACGTCTTCCGAGTCTCTCGAGCCCGAAGAGACGATATATTTTTCCGTTGAAATTAACGTTTAAAAATTATTACATTCGTCCGATTATCTTATCTTAACGCATCTTTTTATCGACCATTTTCCCACGTAAAAATATCATTAACACTAATATATATATATATATACACACACACACATATAACTGAATGCTCGATCTTTATCTTAGTCGTTCCTTTAACTTAAATTAGACGCTCTGTAATTCTCGTATAATAAGATAGATAAAACTCTCGAACGAAAATATCGAACCTACCTTAATAACATTCTCCTCTATTCTCATAGAATATTGCATTGAAAAACCCCTCGTTTCTACACTCGTTTGTATATACGCGACAATTTGTGGATATATATATATATATATACATACATACATATATATATATATATATATATATATCACGTCGTGTCTACGTACATTGATATTAGGTGTACTTATGCGCAAAAGTCGGTAGAATGAAGGCGGCGGTTAAATATAATCGTCGAGTATACACCTTTTTTCTTCTTTTTTACCACCTTATCGCGCGCAAATTCAGGGTATTCGGAACTGCAAGAGGATCGTTTTTACTTGATATTTCTCGATAAATCGGCGAATAAAAACAAAGTGCGCGCGCACGAAAGGGTGCGAGAAAAATGAAAAGACTAGTTTCCGTTCGTTCGGAGCAACAACGTGTCGAGTTGAACACTGGATGAATCGCCACTCTGCAAATAATAATTACAGGTATATGTATGTATACATATATCGTCCCGTGAGTGTATAAGAACGTTTCGAGTAAACGGATGGTATTATTTAATTATTTTTTTTCTTCCTTCTTCTTCTCCTTCTTCTATCTATCTGCCTGCGTGTGTGTGTGTGTGTGTGTGTGTGTGTGTGTACGGAAAATTATCTATAAAAATGAAAAGGAAAAGCGAGGAAAGGAAACACACTGTTTTTACACACCCGATAATTTATCGAAAAATTCGTAAGAATTGATTCGTAAATTTTGTAATAATTTAAAATGTGCACATGTGTTTAAAGCACGTTGTTTCGTGACAACAAACTGCCTTTTCGAACGTAAGTGGAGATGATACGGGAAAACATGATAAGACAGATCGATAATTACCAGAATTAAGTGTCTCTCTTCTTCTCTCCACCACACACACACTGTTGCATGCATCGCAACATTTTCTAAAATGTTTTAGAGAAAACGGCACGTGAAAACACGGCGAATGACACAGCAGCGCGACAACGTTAATAAGAAAATAATCCAAAGAATTATAATGGATAACGATAATGGAATGGCTTTGAATTAAAAAAAATGTTATTAGGAGGAAGAAAGATTAAAATGTACGTGTACGTGGCGTGTAGTGAAAAAATAACAAAAAGTGGATCGATTTTTTCCCTTCTTTCTCCCTTTTTTCTTTTTCTATTCGAGTGGAAATAAGAACGAAGGCGATTATGAAATATTTAACGCGTTCGTTACCACGCGGCGATTTCTTGGCGATTCGAATATTGTCGCGAAATATATTATAATTATTTATTTTTATTTTAACTCGTCAACGAGGAGGGGTTGGTGCGATTTAAATTCAAGGCCAATTGTCAATCATCTCGAGATTGAAACTAACAATTTGTTTGTTTGTTGTTGTTGTTGCCAAATGCAAGAAAAGAATACGAAACGAGTAATAAACGATTGAATAATATTTCCAGGTTCCAATTAGTTTGATTGCCATTAGTCATAGAGCGAAATAACTGTGACTCGTAAGTAAAGTATGTGCAAGCAAATATATATATATATATGTAAAATTTTTATCTATTCGTATTAAATGTCAAACTCTGTGTTAAAAATATACAATTTTATAATGTACCTTTTATTATGGAACGTCGAACAGAATCTTGCGCTCGAACAATATCCCTGCAAGTGCACTGAAAGCTTCTTCAAAAAGTCTTGCTCCCTCTCATGCTTCACAGGTATTTACAGTCCATTGAAAAAAAAATCCATAAATCCCACTCTTTCCGGATACCTCGATGCTCACTTTTCACACAAAAATTTCAAATCAGTTTTTCGGACAACAGATCAATGTTGTTCGTAATCACGATCGTTTCTTTTTTTTTTTTTTTTTTCCCCCGTCTGTCACTCGACTTTTTCACCAATTTTTCATCGATTTCCTCGGAAAAGAAAAAAAGGAAAAACACAATGTAACTCTATTAAACGGCAGATCCGAAAAACCGTTTCCTCAAAATCTAATCGATCCTTCCATAATTTCTCCATAAAATTCGAGGAATTTTACCATTTTCGTAACAAAGCGAAGGGAAGGGAAGTATCGGTCCTTTCGTCGAACGCTCGAAAATTTAAAAATCTTCCATCGAGATAGATCCATCCAATCGGAGCGATCGATCGGAAAACTGTCCTCCCTCTCTCTCTCGACATCAGCGTCGAGATCTCTCCCCTTCCGGCCGTCGAAAATCCATCTCTCGCCGTTCCGATGCTGGAAAATAGGTTGCTGGAGGGCCGGGTGCGGCCGATGTTCGATCTCGACGGGAAGATCGGCGAGTTTTTGTCGGAAACGGGGGGACCGGAAGCGACACGAGTGTAAGCGCACGCGGCCGGAAACCGCGAGCGGTGGAAAACCGGAAGGGTGAAGGAAAATCGAGCAACCAACGTCGCGTCTCCAGGGACACTGCGCTCGAACGATACCCACACTCCCGATACGCCACCTCGCCCCCACCACGCGGCCTCCCGTAACGAGACGCGGCCCGATTGGCGCCGCGCGGCGACGCCCACCGCGTCACACTTGACCGCCGAATTAGTGGGCGGGGCCTCGCCCCCTCCACGCGCCCCACCTTCGCCCTCTTCTCGCCCCGCGGATACGACGCGTTCTCCGTCCCTCCTTCGCGCGGGTAGGCGTTCTCCGTTTCTTGCCCGCTTCTTGCCCGCGTTACGCGCCCGTTTTGTTAACATTGTTTTCGTCGTGTACACGTTAAACGGCTTTAACCTGTTGGCGATCCACAGGATGCACGCGCGCGCTTCTCTACGTTCCGGGAGGGGACGCGGAAAGTGCAAGAGAAAGCGTTCGCCGATCTTTCAACCAAGTTGGATCGAATTTTTCTTTTTTTTTTTTTTTTCTTCTCGAACGGATGAATATGCGTAATGGTTCGAAAATAAAATGGTGTTGAAAAATTGATCGTAGGCTATCGTACGTTTCGTGCGTGAGAAAATTGTAACGCGAACGAATTCATTCGCGAAAGGGATCGTTTGTGCTCTGTGTGCTCTTGAATTGTTCAGTTGGATGCGTAACCATGGAATATTCTCTATGTTTTCGACCCGGCTGTTCGTTTGTAATTTTATAGTTTCACTTCAAGCGAAGGGGATCTGCATCGAAGATTTTGATTCGTTCGAAACTTTTTGTCTCGAACAAAAGTGTTCGAGGAAAATTATTGTTAACGGTTAAGGTAAAGAAATCGCGTGATCTCTAAAGTCTCTAAAACGTCTGTCGTGACGAGTTACAATTGTAAAAGTCTCGATTCGAAAATTATCGTGTAATTCAATTGAAAGCAAAATCATGAAATGTTTACAACATTTTTAACAAAGATTCCAATAATAATAAGAATCATGATAAAAGTGTTTTCTTTCTTATTTAATTCTCTGGTCTCGCACAAATGTATTCGTTGCAAAATACGGTCAAATACAACACTCTCATCGCGTAAATTTATTTATCTGGAGAATCACTATTTTCGCGTCATCCATCTTTATATTCCCTGTCGAAGAAAACATAAATGTAGATTTTAACTCGAGTCAAACGTGATCTTAATTTGTGTCTCAATAGATCCCTGTTTCAAATATTCCGGATAGATATTATAAATAAAACTTTTCTTTCGAAAACCCTTTCTTTCTAAAATTTTCTATTACTTCGTGTCAAATTGATCGTTGATCAAGAAAAGTTAGTAACATTTTCTCCACTTTTAACGACAATTCGAGTATTTGTCACAAATTTGAAACAGGTTTTACATTCGGACGAATATGAATTTTTTGTTGTGTAAAAATTTTCCCTCCTAATTTTCATCCTTTTTTTGAAATTTATTCATTATTACTCCACACAATCTCGGTGTCTTACTTTCGATCGAGTGCCACTTCTCTCTCTCTCTCTCTCTCTCTCTCTCTCTCTCTCTCTT